TTTATTATATATATATATATATATATATATATATATATATACATATAGAGGACTATTTAGAACTTGACAGCAGATCTTGACAGCACACTTACAGAAACGCAATATTATGTTGAAATATATACATACAATAATTATAAGACTGACAGGTAAAAATAAACTTTATCAACGCATTTCTTTCCCGACTTCTTTAATAAATAATTTATTTGTATTTATACAAGAAAGAATGTGATTTAATGACAAAAATAAGGTTTTGAGTTATCACAGAGCAATAATAACTTAAATCAATCAGTTCTTATAAGAAACTAACATATTGAAAAGATCATATAAGTGCTCCATTTGGTACATATGGGATGAATATAATCAAAGCATTCAAGGAACTTTGGGTTGGACAATACCATTGTTCTGAGAGTTAGCATGTTGCGTTTGTTCTACAGCTGTTTGCAAAAGTCTTGTTCTACGTCTTGTATAATGCTGCCACAATAAAATCTGTTGATCGTCAATAAACTTTGTACATTGAGAACTCACAACTTCCCTTCTAAAGTGCTCATATTGCAATAAATCCAGAAAATACAAGCACATAGGGTACTTTAAATACTTGGCATATTCAGGTTCTTTCCAATATAATAAATATTTAAGGTAATTAATAAAGGTCGTATCTTTGAAGTAGCCACGCTGTGCTAAAACTAGAATTACATTAATTATAAAATAAAGTTATCTTTTAAAACTAAATAAGAAATATAAGGATTATTTTTGCTTACAATTCAGATAATTTGGATTAGCAAGGCATTGTACAAATTCTAATTCAACCTGGAACCGTAGTCGTTGTTGATCATCTGTCTCTGGTGCCCCTAAAATATAAATTTTTAGATATATTCTTCTTTCAAGATGAAATCTTTTAAATCAAAAGAAAACTCCTTTTATTAACTCTGTAATGATATAACGTGATATACAATAACATTAGTTATAATATTGTTTAACAGATTAAAAACAGATTAAAACAAAAATATTGTTATATTAAATAATTTTTCGAAATTTGCTTTAATTATGTATACAATATATTAAAAGTTATAGCACTATAATATGAAAAAGTTAGGTTATTTCATATAAACACATGGTTATAAACGCATTCCATACCGTTCATTCCAATAAAAGATGGTTTTCTGCCTTTCATGAGCCCCGGCGGATCATCCAGTCGGTTCATAGTACATCAACTTTTGTCAGATATTTGATACTGCTATCGTTTTTATTTTTACAACAAACGTAGTTGATAGTGACAATAAAGATTTAAAACTTTTTCACTGTACTGAAGTCTCTCGCAAGTCGACTCGCCATTCTCGCCTACTATCAACATGTCGATCGCAGCGCCAATCAGTCAACTGATTGTATGTATGTAATTTTTTGTGCATGTACGAATATACGCATATATGCATAAAGAAATAATCACTTATATAACATGTATAATTATTCAGTTGATAAAACTCATTACTCTTTTATATGGAAAATTGATGTTAATTATCAAACAAAAGTTATAAGTATAATTTTCTGAGACATGTTTTTTTTGTCATCTACGATTCCCTGAGATTTACTATAAAATAATTGCTTCTTATTAATTATAATTAATATAATTAAGATTAATCATTTATGATTACGACTTATATGCATATTTATAAAACTTTTATACATAAAATATAATAAATATTAAAATTATATAATGCAAAGCATGCAAAGTAATAAGATTATAGAGAAAAATTGTTTTTAATAAAAAATGATGCGTCAGTCTATAATATTTCTGTCAAGCCATCAAGAATTTAATTCGTGACTCGAGGTAAATATAATTATATATTAAATCACTCACCATATTTTCGTGCTATAAAATGCAAATCTTTGAGTTAGCGCGCGTAGTGGTACTTTGGCAAGTCGATGAGCAACAATCAAGTTTTCGAGTTGATCAAGCAAGTTCTTTTTTAAATCTAAAATTAAAAAAATATGTTTCATCTCGATTAACATAACACATTTATTTGCATTAGCACACATTTTCGAAATTATTTTTTATACTTCTCTCTCTCTCTCCCGTAACTTAGATATTAGTTAAAATAATTGTTTTTAATATCAAGTGATTAATAATTTCAATTTTTCATCCAACTGGTTTTGGAAGATCAAATGCTTATGTAACAGAGACAATATTTCAAATAATTCAATTACCTTTTCAATAAATGTTAAAAAAAATTTTTTATATTAATAGAAAAGTGTGCAAGTGATATGTCGTTGATCAAGAGAATTACTTATGAAGAAGAAAAAAAGAAAAATCCCGAGTTAAAAGATTCGGATATACAAATCCTAAAAGAATGGTCTATGAAACAACCGCATCTTCCGAAAATTTTAGACATAGAATATGTTTTGTTTCTGCATAGTAATTACTATCGTATTGAGGCTGCTAAAAACACTATCGAAGATTATTATACATCCAGAACTCATATGCCAGAATTTTTCTCCGACCGCGATCCACTTGGAACAAAACAATTGCGGGAGATATTTAAAGTTACGTAAGTATTAAAACATGTTTTTATATAATCAAGTGTATTTTGGCAGTTTATTAAAATAATACGAATTGTGAGATTTTAGAATATATATAGATGTGTGTGTGTGTGTGTGTGTGTGTGTGTGCGCGCGTGTGTGTGCGTGTATGTGTGTGTGTGTGTGTGTGTGTGTATCATATAATTTAAATTTTGTGTCTAAAATTTAAAATTTGAATATATTTCAAATTTTTTTATTTATCTAAAATAAATATTTGCAATATAACATCCAAGAAAATAAAAAAAAATAAAATAACAAAATATAAAAAAAACTGTCAAGCGTAATTTAACAAATATACAAATAAAATTTATTTCAATTGCACATTAAACAATGAAATTTGTTTAAAAAGAGCGCAGATAACATTGTCAATGCCAACGAAGGAGGGATACAAACTTGTTTACTCAAGATTAATAGATTATGAACCGTCACGTTTTGTTTATAACGATGTCATGAAATATTTTTCTATGGTTGTCGATTTGTGGTTGTACACCGAAGGAACTGCCGAAGGCCATATAATTATCATAGATATGGCAGGTGTTACTTTCGCTCATGCTGGTCGACTTAGTCCCATAGGAATTAAGAAATATCTTTATTATTTACAAGAAGGTATACCAATCAGACTCAAAGGTTTGCATTTTGTCAATACAAATGCAGTCATGGATATTATTTTGTCAATGATGAAACCATTTATGAAGAAAGAATTAATGAACATGGTAAGAACAATAGATTTTATATTAAAAATAAAAGTGTTCCATATATATATGTAAATTACTTACTTGATTATGGATCAATTTTTCTTAATTCTTGATTAATTTCTCTTCAAATTTTATTTAAAATCAGAAATTTTATATTAAAAGTTGAAAAATCGCAATGAATAATGGTAATATTTTCAAAAAAGTAGAGTTAACATTTAATTATTTTGTTTCTAAAATTTTTTGGCTAGATATAAGACGCATTCTACATAATATATTTTCCACGTGTTTTCAGTTACATATTCATCCCACAAAAGATACGCTGGCCAAATTTGTACCATTGGAAGCATTTCCTTGCGATGTAGATTTAGATGGGAAAGGCAGACCGTGGAAAGAACAACAAGAGGAGCAATTGAAAAAGTTGGAGGATCATCGCGAATGGTTTCTACAAGATGAAATCTCAGGTCGTGTAAATGAAGCCTTAAGAGTAGGCAAAAGCAAGACGATGGATTTATTCGGAGTCGAAGGAAGTTTTAAAAAATTGGATATAGATTAATTTTTTTATTTCTTTATGACAAAACCATATGAAAAATATTACTTAGAATACATTCGTTTTCATCATATTTTATATTTATTATCTAGTTTTTTATATACATCTGACAATTATAATAAGCAAAAAAATTTTATAATAATAAAAATAACATAAATTATTCGAAATTAATTTATTAGTCGACCAAATATTTTTTGTAAAAATAATTCAATTTATTTCAAGTAAAATTAAAAATTTTATTTAAAAAATAATTTGCAATCTATGATATTGATATTTATGATAGTCTACGATACAATATAAGTAAAAAAATTTATAGAAAAATATCAATTTGTAACAAATATTTAACGTGTTAATTATTCTTCTTAACTTTAAGTATGATTTACGTATTATATTATAGTGTTGGTAACTCTGACATGAGACGCACAAACATCCGGCAATTTAAATTTGCAAAGTCATCTCATTGTTTTGTAGCCTCACAAGTTTCTTACATAAAGAAACTTTATTAATTCAAATTTGTCTTGAACTTTGACCTTCTATGGTTATTAAAATCTTGTGTAATAAGTATCTCATACATATCTCATATATTAAACGTGATGTTATTATAAAAATCAAAAGATGAATTTATGGCATTTTAACTGACATTTTTATAATTACAAATTTGAACAATAAAAGCAATCATTATATCAATAGAGAATGCACTTTGTACATTATATATATATATATATATATATATATATATATATATATATATATATATATATATATATTATATATATATATATATATATATATATATATATATATATATATATATAT